TCTCCTCTCTCTCTCTCTCTCTCTCTCTCCTACACCAAGTCACAGACGTGCGCTTAGGCGCGGGCCCGGCTTTCCTCCCTTCCCTTCCTATCAATTTTTCTCTCTGCCCCTCACTCTTGATCTCTCTCTTTCTCAATCTTCCTCTCTCTCTTCCTCTCTCTCTCTCTTTCATCGAATTACGGACCGGTGTCTGGGCACGGGCCCGGCTTCCACCCCTCTTTCTTCCCTCTCCTATCACTCCCTACACTCCTTTCCATGCCTATCACTCCGTACACTCCTGCCCGCGCCTATCATTCATTCACCTCCTATCCCCTCTTTTACGCCTTGCCAATTCTTGACCGCTATTACACCTCGTAACCTTTATCTGCCCGTACCTTTTCATTGCCTCTATGTGCCTCGACCTTTTCATCGCGTCTACGTGCCCCACTACCCCTTTACACTTGCACCCACATTCTTCATCTTCTTATCTCTAAACCTTACCCCTTCCAACGTTCGTTTATATTTTTATTTTATGTCTTCAATCTTCTACGACCCCACCCTTCATTGGTTGCTTCCCTTATTGCCTAAACATTAAACTCAGGGTCATCTTGAGATAGTGTTTTAGGGTTTCAATTCTGGGATTGCTACTCTAACCACCTTCCTGTATAGTTAATCCGAGTCATAAGAAATATTGGTTATCTTGCACTCGATCACTCGGGTTGGAGTCATCCTGAGTCAGTTTTCTTAGAATCTTCGACCCTTTCGCTACTCTAACTGCCAGATCAGACAATGTGAGGAGCTTCTTTGTCTCTCATTCTTTTCTCTTTCTCTCTCCTTTCTTCTCTCCCTCTCTCTCCTCTCTTCTTTCCCTCTCTTTTTTTCTCTCTTCTTTCTTTTCTTTCCCTCTCTCTTTCTCTCTCTTTCTCTCCCCTCTCATTCTTTCCTTTCTCTCTTTCTCTCTCTCCTCTGTCTCTATCATTCTTTCTCTCCCTCCTCTCTTTCTCTCACTCTCACTGTCCTGCTTGGACTCAGTGTGGGTCTGAGTACCTCTTACTCTCTCTCCCATTATCGATCTTTCTCCCTTCTTGTCTCTCACTTTGGCTCTTTCTTTTGTTTTCGGCCTCGCTCTCTCACTCTCTTTCTCTGTCTTACTCTATCTCATTCTAGATCTTGCTCTCTCGATTTTTCTCTCTCTCTGACTCTTGGTTTCTCTCTCATTCTCAATGTTACTCTCTCTTTCTCTCTTTTCCACATTCTCTTTTAATTTCTTCCTCTTTTTCATCTTTTCTTCATCTCATCTCTTCTTCTCTGATCTTTTGCTTCTCTTCTATACCCATATCTCTCATTTTCCCCCTCCATTTTTATTTTTTTATCCTTTGTTTGCTTATGCATGCCATATTCTCCCTCTTTTACTCCTTCTGTGAGATATCTCATTAATTATTATTAATATTATTATATCTACTACATAAGGCCATTTGTTAAGATGACGCTGAAAGGCTGTCAGATTAATAAGCGGTCCTTTATTCTTCATCTCCCCTCTCTCTTAAATTGTCTTCATTCGTCCCCCATCATACTCTTAATAAATCGCCCATCTAAAGGCAAGTCAGGGTCTTTCGATCCACTTGTCTGATCATCTTACACATGTATGTTCATAAGGCGTAGAGTGCAGCAAAAGAGCCAAAGTCGAACCCGCTTCAGGCTAGGGGGTTTTCCATCGTAATTTAAGGGGGTGTCTCTGCACGCCCAAGCGTGTCACGAACCCATCGTGATGTAGGTCCCACCTCACACCCTATAATTCTCTCTCGTTAGTTGGTACCTACCCACTTGCGCACAACATGCATTGCAGTTTCTGAGAGAGAGATCGCGGGCCGGACCCCACATCCAGGTTCTACTCACGGTCCCATAACCCAACAAGATCGAGGCCCAACCAATCAGTTCTCGATATTTGGTGAGAACTGGATCAGTGCTAATGATTAGCGATCCAAATCAGACGATTCTGATCTCGATCGCCCTTTTTGAAAAACCTCTGTTCCAACTAAGAATCATTATATGTATGTTTTTGAAAAAAAAATGAATTTTGATTTTATTGATACTAAAATGTTAAATTTCAAATTTGAATGGCCCTTGTTCAATCTTGTGATGTTATGTTTTTCAAGAAAATAATTATGCAATATGAAAATTTCTTCTCCTGAAGTCGATCACGAAGATTAAAATATATATCGTATCTGAGGGAGCAAACGAACAATATGCAACTGCGTGAACAGCGTATCTTTTGATTGACAAAAAGGAAGGAAAAGGACTTTGATTATCACCGGAGGGAGGGAGCCAAAAAAAAAACTCACGTTCATTATGACTGCGCTGAACACGTTGCACCATTAGAGAACACGTTGTACGACCCCGTATCGATTTTCCATTGACCCCAACAAATATAACATCCCTCACAGGATATGCTCCGCTACTACAAATAATGGCAGTCCCAAGCAGCAAACCACATTAGCTCAGCGAGGTAGAGCTCTGTTTTCGTAGGAGTGAGAGAGTGAAAATGGCCCCATCCATCGACGCTTCTCTTGTTCAGCCCGTCGATTTCAGGCCGAAACCCGACAAAGTCGTTCACCTCGAGGAAACTCCGGTGATCGATTTCTCTATCCTCCATTCGCCTGAGTCTGGCAACTTAGAGAGCGTCATTTCTCAGATGAGAAAATCTCTGCAAGAGTGGGATTTCTTTGTTATTGAGAACCATGGCTTAGCCCCTGAGCTCTTTGACAATGTGAGGAATGCCATGGCGAAGTTCTCTTCTCTGCCATACGAGGAGAAGAAGAAGGCATCTAGAGATTTAAAGAACCCTTGGGGTTATAACGATAAGGATCACACTAAGAATACTAGGGACTGGGCTGAGGTTTTGGATTATGTTGTAAATGAAGGCTTTCAGATACCTGCTAATATGGAGCCTGATTGCAAAGAAACTGTAGCGCTCAAGAATTTGTGGCCTCCAAACCCCGAGGAGTTTCAGTAAGGATCTCTCTCTATCTCCCTCTCTCTCTACAAAAATTAATATATCTCATGTTCATATGTAATTCAGAGCCTGCGCAGAAGCGATCTAGTCAGTTCGGTACTAATAGGCACCGGATCTCAGAGCCCCTGGTTTTGTTTTTCTAATATCGAACATACCTTAAATGATAAAAACGGAAAATATATAATGAGATCATTTATTTTATTGACCAAACTCAGAGTTCAATTTTTTTTTTTTTCGAACCTCGTTGTGCACCGAAGCTATTGATAGGCTTATTGTGACACCTACTTGTTTCCATCATCTGCAGCCTACCTTTTGTAGCATTTTGCCAGGTTATAGAAAACGAATTGTTGATCAGGATCGACTACCCCCAAATTTGTATTGGATTGGTGATTTGGATAAGAAAATCGGCCGGTCTCAGTCTCAAAAAAAATTAAAAAAATCATTATAATTTTTCAAAAATCTAGTTTTTTAAGTTTTTAAAAGAAATAGTGGCAATTGCATTATAATTTTTTATGATTGTATTAAAAAATATGTAAATATTGAAAACCTGTCTCATGTTGAATATTTGTTTTCTATTAAATTCATTTTATAGTTACAATAAAATTTAAATACAACATGATAATAAAATGAATCCTTCTAATTCAATTTTTTTTTATTATTATTTTTGTATGAACTTAGTTGTTTTGATTTTTGAAACAAGCTATACGCAACAATTTTAGTGAAAGAAATTATTAGTATATATAAATAGAATTGGCTAGATCTGTTAGAGATCTGGCCGGCTCATGAGAGGATCCGGCCGGTTCTTGACATGTATCAAGAACCGGACCGACTTCAATAATTCTCAATCTTGATCAAATGATTTCGATCCGAATCAACGATCTTTAAAACGCTTTTTATAAACCTGTTAATACCAAGCAAAAAATTATTACATGAAATTATTATATAATGGTCAAAATAGTTATCTATATCGAACTCAATTGATGGTCCCACTAGCCAATCGGTGCCTAGGTTTGATCTAAGGTTAAAATCTTGCTAGAAAATTGAGTTTGGTTTGAAAATTAGTTGAATTAATATTTTCCCCATTTTTGATAGTCCGACCAAATGATTTCTGTTCGTTTGATCAGCTAAATACAATTAGATATTTGTTATTGTATTTTATATTTAAAATATTATATTCCAGCCCAACCAGTTCATGGTTTTGATTGGGCCAACCCCTTTACTAGTTTACTAGCTACTTGGATCCTTAATAATATTGCTATATGTAATGAAAATGCACGATACTTGGGGCCAAAAACATTCTAGACAATATGGTAAATTGCGGTTGCGAGAGCATACTATTTATTTCCTCCTTCCGGTAAAACCCAAGATAAAACTAATTTTAGGACTCTTTTGATATGGGCTCTTGAACAAAAATCAAAAGAAGAAAAACATAAATCAAACACTCTAATATTCTTGAAAAATTGATGTCCCAAGGTTGAACATGAAGAGGCCAATTTTGGGGTGGCAAGATCGCAGTTTATCGGAACACCAAAATTCATATTCTCTTAAATATCGACTTAGTGATTCCTGGATGCTAAAATTTTAGACAAGAAAATCTTCCAAGTACCTCTTTTGCCCAAGGGAGTTGCTTTCCTATACGTTCCTGCGTGTGAGAGCTAAACCCTTTGATCATGGTCTTTCTGTTACAGGAAAGTATGTGAGGATTATGGTCGAGAGACCACAAAACTGGCATCCAAGCTGCTAGAAATCCTTGCCCTCTGCCTAGGTTTGCCTGCTGATCGCTTGAACCGATACTTCGAGGAGACGATGACCTATGTTCGCTTAAACCACTACCCTCCGTGCCCATCTCCTGACCTAGCATTAGGGAAGGGTCCGCATGTTGATGCCAGTGCTTTCACGCTCTTGACCACCGATGGAGTTAGCGGATTCGAGGTGAGGCGGAAATCCGACGGTGAGTGGGTCAGGGTCAGGCCCACGGTCAACTCCTTCATCTTTGTGCCAGGGGACATCTTCCAGGTATAATGAAAAACCCTAAAATTTCCATATTTAATATGCATTGTTTAGAAAATCAACTCGGTACTGGAACCTTGGGACCTTGGTCAAGGCGAATTATTTAGCCGAATTAATGTTAAAAAAATAGGTAATAACAAAAGAAAGTAGGGTATATATAATAAGATACTAGGCTTATAATGAGTACTTAAGTGGTCTATTGGTAAAAGGCTTTGGGGCCTTTTTTTTTTTTTCAATAGGTTGAGGTATCAAATCCTGCCCATTGCATGTCATTCTGTCAATTTGTGAACCTCATGCTCAAACCGGGTTCGAAACCTATGATGGTGTGTAATTTTTTAATAAGAAAAAGGAATCCTTCTTAATTAATTAATTAAAATCATAATGGTGCTTTTTTTTTTAATAAAAAAAAGGGACTCCACTTAGTTGTTAAATGAAAACAGTATTTACTATTTTTATTTCTGAAAAAAAAATCCTCCCTTAATTGTTTAAGAAAATAGATTATATCAGATGTCAACCTTATACTGTAGAAGTGAGCTGCACATCAAAACGCATCGAAAAATGTTGTTTCATCACTAAAAAATTCTCCAATAGATCATTATGACCTTGACGTATATGGATATGAGATGAAATGATTTATTAAGAAATAGTCCATTTTGTAACACATTATTTGGACTGTCCATTTTTTAGATTTTCAAGTGCTTATAGATTTGTTATATCTG